TGCTCTTCCTTCTGTTGGAGGAATTCTTTCTTTTCTTCCACAGCTTCATGGAGCTGTCTTTGGAGGAGCTGATGCCTTCGGTCCATGTATTGGAGATCCCATTGTATCTTATCAGTCATCGTTTTCTTGTCTTGGAGCTGGTTGGTCATTTCTTTTAGTTCTGCACTCTTTTGCTTGTTTTCTTTAATGAGGTGCACAATCTGCTCTCGGGTCTGAGCAAACTTTATTCCCCAGCCCTCATTAATAATTTTTATGTCCGCCTGGCGCTGTTGTCTGTCTTCCAGCTCTTTATTTTGGGCTTCCATTCGTCTACACTTGTCCTACAGTTGAAGTTTCTCTTCTTCAATTTGTTGCATTTTTTTCTGGAGAAGGTAGTTTTCTTTCCTACTCTCCTCTAATGCCTTTTGGAAGGGTGAGACGCCATTTGGGGAAATTGGCCGGCCACGCCAGGAAGGAGAGGCGGCGTAATCTTTTTGAATTGGTTGTTTTTTTTCTTGGAAACATGTTTGAGTTTCTATACGATGACTTTTAAAAGCTTTTCCAAATGTTTCTGTGGTGAACGTTTGTAGGCTGCAAACACAGATGCTGCTAAAATGGACAGGCTTAGGGAAAAGGCTCCTTTTCCCTAAGCCTGGTACTGCCACCGGTTTCTTCGGGTTTCTTCCTGTTAAAGGGGGTTTTTCCTTTCCACTGTCGCCAAGTGCTGCTGATAGAGGATCATCTTGTTGTTGGGGGTTTTCTCTCTAACATTGTAGGGTCTTTACTTTACAGTCTAAAGGTCCTTGAGGTGACTATTGTTATGATTTGGTTCTACGTCAATAGAACTCAATGAATAAAAATGTCCTTCATTTGACTATTTCATTACCAAGTCTTTCACAGAGTGGTCCAGCTATCTCCATCTTTAAATCTGATAGACTCTTCCTCTGTGTAATTTTTTTTATTGGTGTTTTTTTTAAATACCTTCTCCCATTACCAATTAACTCAATTTGTTTAGCATTACTTTCTAGCATTACCCCCAATCCCAGTTTTTTTAAATGTGGTGCTGGCATCGCATTCAGAATTCACTAACTGCCTTTGTGCCACTGTAGCCTAAATATTTATTGAGATTAGGTTTGTATCTAAAAGTGGGGACTATAATGCAGATGGAGAATTTTTCTTTTCTTTTTTCTCCCCACCAGGCTGCTTTGGGTATTGCTCATCTGCTTATAATGGCCATGGCCAAGGAAGGATTGAGTAAAGAAGAAGCTGCCAAGAAGATCTGGATGGTGGACTCAAAGGGCCTCATTGTGAAGGTAAAATATTTCCTCATGTGTTACCTAAAGCAAAAAACAGCTGGATGTGGAGTTGTCAAATTAGATCTTTATACACAAATACAGGGAAGAAGCCACCTAAACCATGAGAAGGAGGAGTTTGCTCATGAGCACGCGCAAATCAGAACACTGGAGGAGGTGGTGAGCACCATCAAACCCACTGCCATTATAGGTGAGTTTACTTCAGTGAAGTGCATGCAGTGGATAAATCCTGGGATTTTTTTTCAGCTTTAAAGGCTAAAAACATCCACAGTGTCATACGTAAAACTATTTTTTTAACCTTTTTTATTTAACCATTTACACTAATTCCCAACCAGGTACAGGAAAACACAGAAAGCTATTTAAGGTGAATTTCTTGCATCCAGCTTTGTTTATTAGAGTAACACCTTAGTAATTTGCTACAAATCAACTAATTCTCTCTCTTTTCATTTAACCCAATTCATCAAATTCAACAGTATTTTCCATGTTTATTGGTTTAAATTCCAAACACTGCATGTTTGATGAACTGCCAGAACTGTAGAACCACTTGGATGACAAGACAGCGTTGTTTCAACATTCAAGTTATAATTTTTTTAATTAATTAATTTAACTTAATTTAAGTAAGATAACTACAAAAAGAAATGGATCCTTACTTAAAAACTAAAAACTGAGGCTTTAACTTTAAACAGATTTCACTAAACCAGGATCAGAGTCCTTTAAATGACAGCATTGATACATCGTGTTAGTGCCGTTGTTGTGGTGAACCTGGTGTGTTCTCGTTTTGGAAAAGGAGTCGCTGCAATTGGAGGAGCCTTTACAGAGAAGATAATTAAAGACATGGCGTCTTTCAACGAGAGGCCAATCATCTTTGCTCTGAGTAATCCTACCAGCAAGGCCGAGTGCACAGCAGAGCAGTGCTACAAGCTCACAGAGGTAACGCTCAACTCAACTCACCCTCCCAAAATTACAACCCCAATTCCAACAAAGTTTGGATGCTGTATAAAATAAACTCAAAAACTCTTTTTTTTTTTTTTTTTTTATTCACAATAGAGCGGAGAAAGCAACTGAAAAAATTACAATTTTAAGAAAAAAATAAGGTCATTTTTAGTTTGATGGGAGCTGCGTGTCTCAGAAAGGTTGGGGCAGCGTTTATGTTTACCACTATGTGGCATCATTTCTTCTTTTAACAACACTCTGTAAACATCTGGCAACTGAGAAGACCAGATGTCGGACTTTCAGGAAAGGAATGCTGACCCATTCTTGTCTGATAAAGGATTCGTCATGTTTTTTGTTTTGTGACGCTCGAGGCGTCTTCAGCCAATGAAAGGTCTGGAGTGCAGGCAGGCCAGTTCAGCACCCGCACTCTTCTGCTACAAAGCCATGCTGGCCATATTGTAGACCCAATATGTGGTTTGTCATTGTGCTGTTGAAATATGTAAGGCATATGTTGCTTTAAAATCTTTCAGCACTGGTGGTGTCTTTCTAAGTCACGGACATCCAATATTGATTATTGACCTGATCCTTCTGCACAGATTTCTCAGAATCTGTTGTTGACATTGAGTTATTCGAAGTTTTTACAGTTTGGCATTGCATAACAATATCCTGAAATGTTCCAGAATTTGTAAATGAAACCTCATGTTGCCAAATGTTTACTTTGGAGAAGTTGTGTTTAAACCCAATCATGCTACTAAGCTGTTGCCAGTGAACCTAATTAGTTGCAAAATGTTCATCCAGCTGTTTCTTTTTAGTACTGCTTACTTTTGTTCCTCCCATTCTACCCTTACAGAGATGTGTTCAAAGTCAAAAGGAGATATTTTTTATAAAATAGTTCATTTTCTCAGTTTAAACATCTAATGTGTTTTCTGCATTCTACTGTGATTAAAATAAGGCTTTAAGACACTTCTGTTGTTACTTATATTTTATATAATGTTGTAAATTGTAAATGAAATCATGAAGCATTCACAGCATATACAAGAGCACCACATTCTTGCATGCTTTACCTTTTCCATCATTTTTTATTTTAATTATCATTAATGAAGTGAACTTGCTCCTTCCCCTCTATTTAACAAGGGTCAGGGCATCTTTGCTAGTGGAAGTCCCTTTCATAAGGTGACGCTGGCAGATGGACGCACCTTCTACCCCGGACAGGGTAACAATGCCTACGTCTTTCCTGGAGTCGCTTTGGGCGTTATAGCCTGCGGAGTCCGCCACATATCTGATGATGTTTTCCTCACCACCGCAGAGGTACGTTCCACCATTACTGTGTGTACGTCGCATATTTAGATGAGGATTTTATTTGAAAAACTAGATTTTTAGATGCATTTATTTTTACTTTCAGCGCAGTAGTGTCTCTCTCTTTAAACCGTACATAGTAATCATGAAAATGTTTAGATTTCTCTCCTGAGACAAACTTAATCTTTATTATGTTTACTTCAAAATAATTGAATTGGCTGTCCTTGTCTGTTTCTCTCAGGCGATCGCCAACATGGTCACAGAGGAGCACCTGGCTGAGGGAAGGCTTTATCCTCCTCTCAACACCATTAGAGAGGTGTCCTTCAAGATCGCAGTGAAGGTAGGAAAGCTGGTACTTCTGAAACATATAACCTCAATCTCATGCAGTAGTAAGTGTGGGTTGCTGCCCTCTTCACTGGGATTTTAAATAAAGTTTTGAATTCCTAAGTTGGGATTTGCCATAAAATGTATAGTGTGATATTTACATTTGAACAGTAATCAAATTCATGGCATTTAAATATATGTTAATCTTTATTTCTCTGACCTAGTGTTTTTTTTTATCCAGAATCAATTGCTCAGGTACAGTAAAAGAGAAACGGTTCAGCCTCGAAGTTTCAGGCTCAGTGTCTTAGGGAGGAATAAGCGGATAACCTGCTCTACCCCGTCAGGTGTAGTTGCCCCTTGTAAATGTCCAAAATCCCCATTTTTCCTTTTGTTTCTTCCTTTCCCAGATCGTCAACTACGCATACAGAAACAACATTGCTTCAGTGTACCCGGAGCCTAAGGACAAGGAGGCGTTTGTGCTGTCTCAGACATACAGTTCTGATTACGACTCCTTCACTCTGGACACATACGACTGGCCAGAGGAGGCCATGAAGGTCCAGGACGTGTGATTGGGGTTATCGGCGTCTCGTTCTCTCTCTAAACTAAACACGCTGCCGTAGCGGCACGTAAAAATTGCCTCTATTCTGAAATTTTGCCTTTTAGTTTTTTTGTCTCTCTTTTCTTTTATTTATGTGACTAAACAGCTGCCCCGAGTAAAGCCAACCGAAAATACTACATAAGAAGTATTAAGAATTATCTCAGTTTTCTGAGTGTTATTTCAAGTCATTTTATCCTCTTTTAGCTCTCTACTTTTAGTTTTCCATAAAAAAAACATTTTAAATACGCACAAAAGCATATCAGATATCATTCTCACAGCATAAACCAAGCAATCTGATTTCACAGTGTATCACAACATGTTTTTCTTGTCTTGACATGAAGGAACAGAGGACTTATTTTGAAGACTCTCTGTGCCTCTTACTGTGTGAACTCAGGATGTCCATGTTTTCATTTTCATAGTTCAAACTGTTATAAGAGACACATCTGGCTCGTCCCAGATTTTCCACTCCGTCCCTGTGTGCACATATGTTAGCCTGCACGCAGGGCATAAAACACTCCATTATCAACCTCTGTTTCTTTATAAAACGAGTGATTTCTGACTGCAGGCACTACTTTTTTCTTTTTTATGTGTTTGGAGGAAGCATCGATAAATTGAGTTATCCTCGTTTTTTCACAGTGCTGTGCTTTCCTTTGTTTGTTTTGTAAAGAGCTCTGCCTCATGTGTTTTTGCCAAAGTTGTCAGCTGTATCATATTTTACTCCTAGAGGACATGATGCTGTGCACGCTTTAGCACTGAGAGATATGCTTGAAGTTTTCAAAGGGAACATGAAGCTTTTTAAATAAAAGTATCAATAAGATATGAGTGCATCCTGGATTCTTTTTTTCTTCCCCCCCCCCCCCAAACAGATTACATAGCTTACAACTATATACAGCACTGTGCAAAAGTCTTGTGCAAACCTTCTTTTCTTTATATTTAACTAAATGCATAATTTCCTGAGCTCAGAAGGACTAAAACCACACTTGTTCATGGGGTAGATGTGGTGGTTTGTAAAACACACATTAAAATATATATATATATATATATATGAATGAAGGAGCACCGCCTCCAAATTCTTCAACTATTGCCTAGACTTAAAAATCTGATAAAACTGGCTGTTTCGGCAGGACAATGATTCCAAAACATGCATTAAAACCAGCTTAGAAAAGATAAAAGCTTACTAACAATAAACTCTGGATTCTCAAGCTACAATCTCAACCCCTGCTAAGTGTTTTGAGCCTGTGTGGAATAAAGAAATTGAAATTAAACTTGTGAAACAAATCATTAAAAGCCCAGAATTATCAAATCCATGTGATAGGTGAACAAACCTGTCGGGCATAACATCTCAAACATATTCAGTATTACACCTTCCTGCTTCCTGTTTTGTGTTATTTATTTTAATTAAATATCCATGTATGTGTCAAGGCATTTAGATCTTATTGAATCGTTTTTGTACTTGTACTGTTGCTGGTAGCAGGAAGAAGACCCAAATGCAGGACTCACAGATACAAGAATAAACTAAAAACCAGTTTTGTATTTGGTGAAATGGCAAAATCCACAACAGAAGCACAACACAATGGCAGGAAAGCAGGAGCGTAGGTTAACAGACACCCAGACAAGGAAGAAAAGGAAACCAGAGTTTGCATATAAAGGGCTAATCAGTTTCTTTGTATTCAGACATATATGGCATATAGACCTGAATATGGTTTTCCGTTCTCTTGTTTTGGAGCCTTTAAGTTACTGCACTGTTTTGGATTTTAAATATGAGCCTAATAAACGGTTCCCCTTCTAGGTCCCTAGATTTTGACAAGTACACATGATGAGCGTACATGATCTTAAACATACACACATAAGATCTGGCATAAGATTATGACCGATTACAGGTGAAGTAAACAGCACTAATTATCTCATCATCGTCTGTTAGTGGGTGGAATATATGTTAGGAAGCAGGTGAACATTTTGTCCTCAAAGTTGACGTCTGAGAAGGAGGGAAAAGGGGCAATCGTAAGGACTGATCAGTTTGGTGAGCGCCAAATTGTGATGGCTAGCTGACTGGGTCAGAGCATCTCCAAAACTGCAGCTCTTGTGTGATGTTCCCGGCCGACAGTAGCCAGTACCTCCTAAAAGTGGTCCACAGAAGGAACAATGGTGAACCAGTGACAGGGTCATAGGCTGCAAAGGCCCACCGATGGATGTGGGAAGCGAAGGCGGGCCTGTTTGGTCCAATCCAATAGAGAAAGTGCTGTAGCTCAGGTTACTGAAAAGGTTAATACTGCTTCTAATTAAAAAGTCAGAATACACAATGCATCACAGTTTGTTGCGTATGAGGCTGCACAGCCACAGAACAGCCAGGTGGTCCATGCTGACCCCTGATCACCACTGAAAGCAACGACAATGAGCATGTGAACATCAGAACTGGACCACGGAGCAGGTTTTCTTTATGTGCGTCGCTTACCTGGGGAACACCTGGCACCAAGATGCATTATGGGAAGAAGGCAAGCTGGTGGGGGCAGTGTGATGCTTTGGGCAATGTACGACTTGGAAACCAAGGATTCTGTCGTCCATGTGGATGTTACTTTGACAAATACCACCTACCTAACCATTGTTGCAGAACATGTACACCCTTTCATTGAAACTGTATTCACTGATGGCTGTGGCCTCTTTCAGCAGGATAATGTACCCTGCCAGAGAGCAAATACTGTTCAGGAACGGTTTGAGGTGCTGACTTGACATTCAAAGTTCGCCAGATCTCAACCCAATCAAACATCTGTGGGAAGGAAATGTGCTGTACAAACATGTCTGATCCGTGGAAGCCCCACCGCACAACTTAGAAGACTTAAACGATCTGTTGTTAACTTCCTGGTGCAAGATGCCATAGCAAACCTTCCGGTGGTGTCTAACTGAATACATATCTTAAAGGTTTAGGGCTGTAGTAGCAAAAGAAAACACAATATTAGGCAGATGTTCATGTTATGTGTGTATGCGTGTTTAATGTTTCCTAAGTAAATATATTTCCAAAGATGCTATTTGAAATTCTCAACAGATGTCCATTAATTGTTATGTGTAATAATGAGAATAAAGTCTCTGGTCAGATGAGACCAAAATTGAACTCTTTAGATTCCAGAATACACACACCATGTTTGGAGGCCAAAAGGTGCTGCATATCACCCCTAAAACACCATTCCAACAGTGAGTTTAGAGGTGGGTACATAATGGTGTGGGGGTTTATTTCAACATACGGCACTGGCACGCTTCATATGACCGAAGGAAGGATGAATGCGAAAATGTGGCAAGGAACTCCTAATAAAAAACTGCTGCCACCTACCAGGATGATGAAGATGAAACCAGGGTGCACGTTTCAGCAAGCCAATGACCCCAATTGTCATTTCTGATTATTACACATAACTTAATTTCAAATCTAAATCTACGGTTTGATTTCTTTGCATGTGTGAACTGGATTGGTTGTTGACCAACATCTGGTGATTACCTTTAGAAACACATTTATTAGAAAAATTGATTATGTGTTCAACAATTATTTGAACCACTCTACACATTAAAATAATGCACATGAACAAAACTTTGGTAATACCAAAAGATGAGAAGTAACAATCATTGTGCCAAAGTCTTTGGAAATCAGAGTAAAACATGTTTTGTAGGAATTAAAAAAAAAAAAAATAGCAGGAAAGCAAATCTTCAGTATTTGAAGAGTTTGCAGTTTTAGAAAAATATATGAGTTCTTAAGAACCCAAACAAAAATGTGTTTGAAACTGACGGATGGATTCACACATCACATTTAACAATATATCCGCTATCATCACTATTTCTGGCTTTTTTTCCTCTCGGGGCAAATATAAGATAAAAGCATGTCTATCATTTGCTTGACGATAGGTGGAGGAGGATGGAGGGCATGAGGTAAATGGTGAGCTAAAGTCATTTGCCAGGCATCCACCACCAGAACGTTCAGCCCCTTGAACATGGTCCTGAGCACCTGATCGAGCTGCTGGGAGTACCAGTCGCTGTTGTAAAGGCTCACCTCTTGATCCAGGGCTTGAAGATTGGCTGAGCGGATCACTATTAGCGTCCCTGGTGCTCGGTCTATAAGTCTCACCAGTGCCTGTCGAATGTGCCGAAGACGCCGTATGTATATGTCCACAGGAAAGGTGCTGAAGTGGGACCAGATGCTGAGGACCACAACCACGTTGGGGCCCCCAGAGAGGCCGTCAAGCTCATTCGAAACATACCGCAACTCGCTGGACATGACGGTAGAGAAGCGGATTGGAGGGCCGTGGCAGCGGTACTTCAAGAGAATATTATGTGTGCTGTCCACTGCCATGAGCGGCCCAACCTTTTTGGGATTGTATAGGTTGAACTCCTTTAATTCTGGATGAGATGGAATAAATGAAAGTTACAGTGGGTAGTGTAAGTGTCTATAAAATGAAATAAAAGGACAAAACCGCTCACCTGGTACAAAACCAATGAGATACTCAAACCACTGTCTCACAGTAGAGTCTCCGTACATGTTGATCACCTTGTTCTTCAAACACTGTACAGCTGCTGATGGTTTGTTGAACTGACGCATTGTAAATCCATCTAATGGCCTCCAGGAGTCCATGTAGTAATATCCAGATGTTTCTAGCTGAATATGTTCTGGTTTAGTTGTGCTGTTTTCTTCCTCCACTTTATCTGAGAGAAAGTAAAGAATGCTGAAGACAAAATTCATTTTTAGATCACAGCAGGAGCTACAAATGTTCCTCTCCCACTGTACCGTACCTTTCTGTGGCAGCACGTTGATTTTATCAGGTCCTGAAGCGTGTATGTAAACTTTGAGATTTACGCCACTAGGACAGGAAAAGATGGAAAAAAATGAATGTTACAAAATAATGTTACATTTCCTACTAATATCTTGGTTGAGTTGCTAAGGCATAAACTCATCTTTAAAAGTCAGATAACAACTGAGTGCTGTTTTAGCTATTTTCGCATGTATTTCGCATTATCTGAGATATACCAGAGAACTATTATCAGATCAACAAGATTTTAGCTGCTAATGATGTCACCAGGGGGGAGGTAATGGTGCGCATTTCCACAGTATTAAGGCCTTATTTTTAAACAGCTGACACTAATGTGTTGCTCATCTTACACACAATGTGTGCAGGATGGGAAGAAAATAATCTATACTGCAGATGGTTTTATTTTAATGGTTTCTGACTGCAGACACTCATTGTTTGTGGGGTTTTTATGAATTAAGAAAAATAGGAAATCTCACCACACTTATCCTTTAACAGTAGATACAGTAAATAAGCATCCAAATCCTACAAAGCATACAAACCTTTTGAATAACAGCGCTTCCTTGTTGGTGATGAGGTTTTTCAAGTAGCCTCCCTTGGCATGGTTGATTCTGGTGTCACAGCTGAGCACCTTGGGCTTGTAGCAGTACCAGGGCTCGCCTGTGTGAAGGTCTGTGTAGTTGCAAAGAGGCTGATGGTTGGTAGGCAAGCACAGGTTGCACACAGTAGTTTCTGACAAAAGGCCTAAACGGAACACGCTCTTAAAAAACACCCGATCGGCCCGTTCCTCCCTGAGTCGTCGCAGCACAGCAACGGCCTCGCTGGAGTGCACCAACATGACTTCAACCTGTGCAGAGCCCACCCACAGGAGTGGGAACAGAGCAGAATAAAATCCATTCTTGTGGTCAACCACCTGCCCAACCACGGCCGCTCCAAGCTCTGGAGAGTGCAGCCTGGCCAGAAGGAAATCCCCGCCGTAGCGTTTAGGACGACCCTGGAAGTCGTGCATCTGGATGAGGGCCTCTAGCTGATCGCCCACATGCCACTCTCTTCCTTCTTTAGTGGGAAGTATTGCGAACAGGCTGTGGACAGGGTCGCTCGTCTGCCTCAGGGTGGTTGGTCCAGAGTGAGGCGGAGGGCTGGGCCAGCTGATGAGTTCCAACAGGTACCGCTCCTCAAGTTCATCCTCAGGGGAGGGTTTCTGGCCCACATGGGTACAGTAGGTATGGTTGTGATAGAAAGGAGACACACTGAGGGATGAATGGATCCTGCTCTGCAGTTGGTAGAAAGATGAAATCGCTTGGCAGTTCCAGTTCTGAAAAGAAGAAGGGTAACTGAATGAATTTTAGAGGATACCACACTATGGGTTGTAGAATATTGCAGGAATAATTCAAGAGGAACTGCACAGATGCAAAGATAAAGATCACTGGTTAGAAGAAGTCCTACTCAGCCTGTGAAAACAGTTTGATGCGGACAGGACTGAGAATAACAAAGCTGAAGGTTGCTCATAGGCAAATAATTTCCACATACTTAATATTACATTTTGGGAAACGTAAGATCGGGTATGATTGGAGCTCTTTACGACCCTTACAAAGGACTAAAATACAAAATATCTTAACTTTTGCTGCCATTAAATGGACTTGCCAACTTCTAATAACCACGCTTCAATCCTCTTAATCCATGAACCAAGCAGCAACATGAAAAATTAAGCCATTAGTGCCAAAAATCGAAGTTCCTCCATCCCCACAGACTCCCAGAGCAAAATGACCAACAAGTGAAAGTTGCAATTGCATTCATGTGTTTTGTTTGTTTGTTTGTTTTTTATGTTCACACATATGGATTTTGTTAAAGCTTAAAGATTTGACCCCTACTAATTAAAGTCCACACATTTGACTGCTCAGCTGAGTTTGTACTACTGGTTTCCCCTTCTGGCAAAAGACAAGGCCTACTGTATGTTGCAGCTAGTCCACGAATTCCAATAAGAAGTGTGTGAATTTCCGGTATTTTATTACTCTTGGCACTAATTAGCAGGAATGTGTGTCTGTGCAATCCAGCTGTGGTTTATGTATGCAGCTTGCTAAACTTAGCTGATAACAGATCATTCAGGGTGACCTGAATGCTTCTTATAGAGATTGAAAATGTGAACTCATTCAGGGGTAAAACCGCAAAGAATTCTGGGAACTCGTGGCAAGAGGTACTAGCGCACGCAGGCTTTCAATTGAAATCAGTTACACAGCGATAAAAAGAAACACAAAAAATGGCAAGAAGCTGTTGAATTATTAACTGCAATAGCCGGTCGCATGACAGCCACGGGAAGCCGACGGGTAAAGAGATCGGTTGTTATCGGATTATGTCACTGAAGAGAAATTGTTTAAGCCATGTTTCCGAAGTAACAAAGAGGCGACGGATGGCCTGGATTGCAGCCATTCAAAGACCAAATATAACGTCCCAGAACACTCCAGCTCACATGTTAGTCTGCTCCAAGCATTCCCACAAAGGTCAGTGTTTTGTAGTAGATAAAACGTCATTTTTCATAACATAATTGGTGATATAGGTTACAAGCAAGTCTGGCGCTGAACAGAAATAGTCGCGCTATGCTCCTTTGTTTATTGTGCATAAATAGTGAATTGTCCTGACACAATATTGCGTTTCGCTTCAGTTATTACCATGGTACATTGACAAAAACATATACTTTTATTCACCGGGTAAAACAGTTGTTTTGTATCACTAATTGCGCAGTACGATTACAGCATACAATATTATTGTCACTGCTACATTTCTGTAATGCCTACCAGAAATTATTTCCACTACTAATTAATTACCGTTGAGCTCAAAGGTCCTATTAATAAACGGTTAACGAATGTGTATTTATGAAGACGATTTGTGAGACTGGTAAACTTATGATACGTACGATGGTCTTTCGTTCTACACGGTGCATTTCAAGGTCCTGTACCCATCCGTCGATAAACTGTACCTGGGCTTGTTGCAGTGACCTGAAGTTACTAAACTTCATGAGTGTATGCACTCACTCCAACAACCGTATGATTATAAATATGAGCGTGGTGAAAGTTGGGCAGCACGCTAACATATTTTGTCCACTCTGTGTGCTCATAAGGGTCTGGCCCTTTCACTCCTTTGATTTTTTCCTCGTATCTTTTCTTTGACTTTTCATCAAGTCTGTCTTTGTACGGACCGGCATTGTTCTCCTTCGTTTTGTACATAACTTTTTTGGGGGCAAAGAAAAAGCAAGAATTTATTGGAACCGGAGAATGAACGTTTTGCGGTGCTGCAAATGCTTGCGTTTGATGCGGTACTTGGATTGTTTTGCCACGAGTTCCCGGCATGCAATGCGCGAAAGTCACATGGTCTGTCAATCTCTATAAGGGATTATATCCAAACTTTTAAGAGTGCAGCTCTGTTTCCTTCAGTAACTCAGGAAGGTCCCTTGTGGTTCAAAAAAGATCACAGAAACAAAAAGTGACAGGCCACAGAGTTGCAAAGCAGGGTCAAAGCATGCTGACCCAGATAAAAGTCACCAGAGCACTGCAGACTCAAGCACAAAAACTGTGCCCCACAACCATTATGGTATTATGGCAGCTCCTTAATGCATACCCGGTCCACTATTTTTGTCCATATACTCCGTTTTAGGAGTTCCCGACTGATTTCTGCAATAATATGAAAACAATGGAAAATTTGCCTGCTATGTGTATAAATCAAAAAATCTTTTGAGACTTTTCATAACTGTCAAAAATGAAAAGAAAAAGCATGAGTTAAAGCCCACAGGTAGTTTCACTTCTCTCCTCACCTCTACTGTGTGGATGTTCCGCAGCAGGAAGATGATGCCAGACAGTGTGAGGAAGAGGAAAATCGGGGTATATTTGGACAGATTATGGCACATGGTGACCCTCTTCTAAATCCCATGATCACACTCTGCTGTCACCAGGACGACATAATGTCATTCCAACCTGCTGTCAACGAGAAGGACATTTTATATATATGTGTGTGTGTGTGTGACAGATGTTCTGTTCTTCATTATGCAGTTAACCATCTTCTCTGTGTGTCATACAGAAGTAAACAAAAATATAAGAATTCCTTTTTCAAAACAGCATGAAAAAAGCATTTGTCCCCTTCCTGATTTCTTTTTTTGTGGCATATTTGTCACACTTACATGTTTTAGATCGGAAAAAAATGTAATATTAGACAAAGATATCAGTCTTGCGACTGACTGGTGACCTGCACAGGATGTGTCCTGCCTCTCACCCTATGACAGCTGGGATATCCTCCAGTCCTCCTTGACCCTGATAAGGATAAGCTGAAGAGAAAGGATGCATGGATGGACAAAGATACCTCGAATAAATGCAAAATGCACAAAAGTATTAAGGGACAAAAGCTATTCAAACCTACCTGGCCCTATGTAATATTGTAATAACTGGCAGTGAGTCTTTCACTGTGAAGGAATTTTGGTCCACTCTTGTTAAACTTTAGCTTCAGGGTTGAACTGAAGGCTCGACATTCACTTTCAGGATGTTCTGGTAGAAAGCAAAATTCCATCTGTGAAGGCATGTCATCCAGATCCAGAAGAAACAAAGCAACCCCAGACCATCACACAACTAGCATTACCATGTTTGACTGCTGGCAGTGTTGGGGAGTAACAGAATACATGTACCGGCGTTACGTATTTAAAATACAAAATATGAGTAACTGTATTCCGTTACAGTTACCGTTTAAAGAGGTGGTATTCAGAATACGGTTACTTTGTTAAAATAAAGGGATTACACGGCGTTCTTTTCCTGTTTCATATGTTAGGCTATGCCCACTCTATTTTTGGTAACTCCACGCCGGTGGAAACCCAAACAAAACACGCATTACGAGGCTCTTTGTCTCAATCTCGCGGCCCATGTCACCTCTGCTTGCGGCCCGCATGATGACGTGAAGAAATATTTTTTAAAAATGTTGTTCAAAAAATTATTTAATATGACGGCAATAGGCAGAGCATTACAGGCATAGCCCTAAAGAATGTGGCCTTATGTAGCCCAGTTGTAAGTGAGCTATTAATAAGACTCGACTGTACACTGTGTTCGTGTTTTACTCCGAAACAATAAGTTCTGTTGAAGCAGCCTTTCAACGCCTCTCCCTGTCTCTTGCTAGCAAAGCTGACCCACACAACAAAGTAAAGCTATTTTACGACTCCGACACGAATCCGACGTATTAGCCAGAGGTCCCTTTACCACGGTTCGGAGCCGTGGAACAGTTTTCTATACAAGATCGCTGCAAAAAGTGCAGCCTTACCTAATGTCCATCCTACTGTTACTCATCTAGTTGGTATTCGTATGGCGAGTAACCTTCAGTAATAGTAATAAATCACAGAGCAAAAGCACATTCATGTAGTTGCAAAAAGTTTGATAATATGTTAAGTAATCCAAAGTATTCAGAATACGTTACTCAATGAGAGTACATTACAAAATACATTTTGGGGCATGTATTCTGTAATCTGTAGTGGAATACATTTTAAAAGTAACCTTCCTAACACTGACTGCTGGTATGATGTTCTTTTTATGAAATGCTATAGTTTTTCACTGTGGTTTCCCGAGTCCCAAAGCCTTAGAAGTGGTTTTGTAATCCTTTTCATACTGACAGGTGGCAGTGAATTTGTTTCTCTTCTGTAATCCAGTATCGTTAATTCATGGCACGATGTCCTGCTTTTTGAGATCTTTTAGACTACCTATCTTTATCAGACACCTTCTACTTTCGTGACTTCTGGTTTCAACAGTTCTTGCAGTGTTCCCTGTACAGCACTGTAACAAAGTCTCCAAAAGTTGATTCTGTTCATCTGAACGTAGCTTTTTGTGGGAGAAACGTTTCGTCACTCATCCAAGTGACTTCTTCAGTCTCAGCTGACTGCAGGTTTCCCCAAATCTTATAAACAGTGCATTTGCATAATGACTGAAACCAGCCCACTGAAGGAACAATGGGCTGGGAGGTCAGGTCCTTAATCATAATTATGCAGATTCTCATGACCATTGATCAACAACCACTGATCAAAGACCACTGATCAATGGCCATGAGTACCATTCACAGAGAGTTGGGGAATGGCTGCAATCACAGCATTGTAAGATGGCGAAAGATGTAACACTGTAACAAAGTCAAACCAGGATGCATGTGTGGGAATAAAGAAAAATATTTTACTGCTACATATAGCTTTCATCATTATCATTGCATTAAAACTTCTATTACAGGTGCGGCTATAACCATTTTATACACACATTGCAGATGTGCTCATAAAGAGTTGATGCTCAGTCTATTTAAGGGTTTTAAGCTTCGTTTGGCACGATGTCGCGACGATCCATGGTGTAAGTGACTTGGAGCAACAGAAGGTTAAAAAGGCATAATGCTTACAAACACAAATGATTTAAAGATAGGCCTGGAATTCATTTAGCTTCTAACTGCATTTGAGTTTGCCTAGTAACAGGTGACAGAAGAAGAGAAGAAGAGTGTGAGCCCACAGGAACCATCTGGAGGGTGAAACAAATTGCCATGTATGGAAGAATGTGATAGAAAAAGGAACTTCTCTGTCTGTTTTTTAGCTTTTTAATTGACCATTTACTATAACTGATGCATGTCATATTCTTGTTAACGCATGAAGGGGCGGAAGTCTGATGAATTAAAAGCAGTCTGAAGTGTATTTTTGGGTGAAGATCTATGCTGATGTGTTGCAGTGTACATCTTCCCACGCGTGTGTTCAATAAAATCAATGTTTGACTGCACTCTTCTGGGCCAGTGTTGGTTTGTTCTTATCCTCAATATTTAGAATTCGGGACACATGCTTAATGCATGCTCAATCATCCAGGTAAGTAAATCCCTCAAAGTTGATTCTGTTCATCCGAATGTAGCTTTTATCAGTGGGATAAACATTTCGTCACTTATCCAAGTGACTTCTTCAGTCTCAGCTGACTGAAGGTTTCCCCAATATTATAAACAGTACATTTGCACAATGACTGAAACTAGCAACACTGAAGGAACAATGGGCTGGGAGGTCAGTTCCTTGATCATTAGTATGCAAATTCCCATGACCATTGATCAACAACCACTGATCAATGGTCATGAGTACTATTCCCAGGGGGTTCAGGAATGGCTGCAATCACAGCATTGTAAGATGCTGAAATTAAACCAGGAAATCAAACCGACAAAGTGTATCAAGAAACCAGCAACTCTAGAAAGGAAGTCCTTCAAAAAGAGACCTTTAGAGTCTATCAAAACTAGAAACACAACCAAAATACTACAGTAAAACTAAAGCTCGTTAAATTATAGTAACATAAATACCACCAACATGAAAAAATACAAGACCACAAAAATAACAACTAACAACAAAAAAACCCACGAAGTAGAAACTTCAACATCCAGTTAGCAGCAGTCAGAATTTGGCGTAATAATATGGCTGCCATGGCAGAAGTGAGGCCAACTGACAGCGAAAGTCAGACCACGTGATGTTCGCGCATGCATGCCGGGAACTCGTGGCAAAACAATCCAAGTACCGCATCAAACGCAAGCATTTGCAGCACCGCAAAACGTTCATTCTTCGGTTCCAATAAATTCTTGCTTTTTCTTTGCCCCCAAAAAAGTTATGTACAAAACGAAGGAGAACAATGCCGGTCCGTACAAAGACAGACTTGATGAAAAGTCAAAGAAAAGATACGAGGAAAAAATCAAAGGAGTTAAAGGGTTAGACCCTTACAGCACACAGAGGGACAAAATACGTTAGCGTGCTGCCCAACTTTCACCACGCTCATATTTATAATTATACGGTTCTTGGAGTGAGTGCATACACTCATGAAGTTTAGTAACTTCAGGTCACTGCAACAAGCCCAGGTACAGTTTACCGACGGATGGGTACAGGACCTTGAAATGCACCGTGTAGAACGAAAGACCATCGTACGTATCATAAGTTTACCAGTCTCACAAATCGTCTTTATAAATACACATACGTTAACCGTTTATTAATAGGACCTTTGAGCTCAACGGTAATTAATTAGTGTGTTGATAGGAGTTATGTGGGTTAGTTCAGCTTCACCACTAGGGGGCTGTCTAAACCAAATTGTGATATATACTGTGTCGTAGAAGCAGCGGCAGGTTATGTTTACATGCATGGATGTGAGCCACGTTAAGCTTGCTCACTACTACTGATGTTTTATTAAAAACACGACAATTAGTAGTCGAAATAATTTCTGGTACGCATCACAGAAATGTAGCAGTGACAATAATGTTGTATGCTGTAATCGTACTGGGCAATTAGTGATACAAAAAAACTGTTTTACCCTGTGAATAAAAATATATGTTTTTGTCAATGTACCATGGTAATAGCAGAAGCGAAACGCAATATTGTGTCAGGACAATTCACTATTTGTACACAATAAACAAAGGAGAATAGCGCGACTATTTCTGTTCTGTGTTTCTTTTTATCGCTGTGTAACTGATTTCAATTGAAAGCCTGCGTGCGCTAGTACCTCTTGCCACGAGTTCCCAGAATTCTTTGCGGTTTTACCCCTGAATGACGTCACATTTTCAATCTCTATAGAAAAGCTGTGTGTGTGTATCTCACGCACGTATCTGAATATGTACACATGGCTAAAGTAGAGCTTTTTCCAACATGGCCTGCTTTTGTTATTCTTTAACATAAACATAGATTTTAAAAAATGGATGCTAATCTGTTGACAGAACAATAGCTGTGAATTAGTCCACATCAAGGTTATTGCTCTTTTTAACCTAAAAAAAATATACAACCCACATTTCTGCGCTGACATGAGCACTTCTAGCAGATAAAGCGTCCTGTCTCTCTGCAGTAATAGTCAGTGATAATGATTAGCGGCTCTTATTCTGGGTTAGGATGAAGCTCATCTCCATCTTGTATGAGATGGAAATTTCTGTTTATATTATTCCTATTATTCAGCAGCTTTTGTCACACGAACCGCTGCGACGACGCCAACAAAGACACCGCAGATTTTCAGAACATCATCTTTTGTTTGCTCATTTGTGCGCGCCGTACTTACACGTTACAGAGCCACACCATGTCCGATCCCTGAAGCAGGATGAGGAGGATGGTAGCAGAAGAGCAATGTGGTCTTTAAGATAAGGCGATTTCCACTGGTCATCGCTCGCGAGAGGGGAGGAGGATAGTATGTCCACGGTGGGTTGAGCTGTTACAGCGAATGCGCTTTCTGGCGTAACCCCACAGAGAACCAGGCTGGAATCGAACAGGTCACCTTACGCTTGGCAAAAAAAAAAATAAAATAAAATCAATTAACCAGCACACCATCATGATGAGGGTGGGAAAAAAGAAATTGCAGCAGATTGGGTGACGGAGTGGGTGCTACTGCGTCCCCAGGTGGCCACTCGGTATACTTCAGCTGTTCCTTTGTAACAGCAACAATAACAGTGATACAAAGAGAAGAAGAAGAGTAAGAAAAGTAGTTTTTGTGACGCAGAAAAAAAATCAGCACTTCCTGTGTGTCATGGTTCTGGTTCTTTGACTCAGTGTTTTGTGTTTTTTGGACTTTTGAATCGTAATTCATTGTTGTTTTGATTTTGAGAAGTGGGCTTGGTTTCTAGATTCTGTTTATTGTGTTTCATTGTCCCCGTTGTATCATTTGAGCCCACGAGTTCAGCCCTCCTTGGGGTTATTTACTTCATGTTCCTTCGATGTTGTCTCTGTGTTTCATGTTTTGTTTATTTTTATTCACTCTCTCACTGTGCTACACACAATGTGTCCTGACATCCTGCCCAGTGACCCAGCTTTCAAAGTAATTAGCAGTCAGTCCACGGATTTCAAAGGATGTGAGTGTGAAAACTGGACCACGGAACAATAGAAGAAGGTGGCCTGGTCTGATGAATCGTGGATGGCTGGGTGTCACTTGCCTGGGAACATGTCAAGCTTGCAGAGGCAGTGTGATGCTTTGGGTCGTGTCCTGCTGGGAAACCTTGGTTCCTGACATCCATGTGCATGTTACTTTGACATCACCTACCTAAGTGTGGTAACAAACAATGCACATCCTTTTATAGAAAATATATACCTTGTTTGCTGTGGCCTCTTTCATCAGGATACTCTACCCTGCTACAAAGCAATAATGGTTCAGGAGTGGTTTGATGAGCACAACAATGAGTTTAAGGTGCTGACTTGGCCTACATATTTCCCAAAGCTCAATCCAATCAAACATCTGTGGGATTTGCTGGGAAAACAAGTCAGATCCACAGAGGACACACCTTGCATCTTACAAGACTTAAAGGATCTGTTGCTAACATTTCAGTGCCGGATACTCAAGCACACCGGCCAGGGTCTGGTGGATAGACCCAGGGTCAGGGCTATTTTGGCAACGCAATATTGGGCAGTTGGTCGTAATATTATGTTTGATCAGTGTAGAAAAAACTAGAGGTTAAATTACAGAGGCAAGGAAGAGAGCATTTGGACATGTGCAGAGGAGAGAGAGTGGAAATATTTGGACAAAGGATGCTGAATGCAGAGCTACCAAGGAGGAAGATAAGACAAGGATCACAGATAATGTTTGTGGATGTAGTGAAGGAGGACATGCATAGGGTCGGTGTGACAGAGGAAGATACTGGCGATATAGCACATTTGAGTACATTGATCAAAAAAGTAGCACTTTTCAAATAATGGAAAACTGACTTTATGCTCAAAAATATTTTCAATCTTATTTTCCAAGTAAAATCTGTTACGAGTTCATTACTTTTAAAGGCCACAGACATTCAGAAATGTATAGGCTGCTGTGTTCTACTAATTCTGATTTATAAGTCAAAGTAAGATGGATCGTGTCCTGGCATAATGATGGCTGCAGTGTGGTGGAGCTATGTGGGATAATGAAACTGAAAGTAACACACAGTGTGCTATTTTAGCAAACTTTATTTTTACTTTGGTTAGTTTTTTGTCAATGTGGCATGTATGAAATTTTCATTGTATAACTTTGTTGTTTATTGTACACTATACTGTTTTAATTCTTTATCCAGCTGCTGTAGCACAAAAATTCCCTTGAGACCAATAAAGTATCTATTTATCTGTATTTGCATTATAGCTATGAGGTATAACAGATTATTTTAATGAACTGGAATTAGTGTAAATTAATTTACACTGATTTATTGAACATCTAAGAAATAATCACACAGCAACGAGAATAACTTTAAATAAGACATTATAAAAATGAAAAGTAGATAGAAATTAGAAAATTATAACTACATATTTATTTACATTTTTCACAAGATAGGGATACGTGACATTTTTCTGTTGATTATGAGTTAATGCTGACCTACAGTCAATACAAAGCAGGCCAGCCATCCACACTGGTTAGAACAACAGAGATATATAGTAAAGCATATGTGTCGTTACAAGTGCATTTCTTTAACACAGCAACTTCTACTTTTCCAAACAGTAGAAGTAACAGGTCACAACATGTCTGTCTTAGTAGGCAGAGGTAGTAACCTCTCCTTTGACTTTACTGATACCTTCTTAAGTTACATCACATTCAGTGTCTTTACACAGAGAGGAAAATGTTCATTAATAAAAGAACGGATCAAAGTGTTGGAGTATAAAAAAGCACTAGAGCTACATTCAGAGTACTGTACTTGTTTCAATCTGGTTTTAGAGCTAAGTCCACTGTTTTCTGGGTTATTAATCAAGATGACTGCAGAGAAAGATCTGTCTCTAAGCTTATGCTCAGTGTTAATTTACACACGCTCAGTCAGTGGTTCTATACAGTTTTCTAACAGGTGAGGACTCTCAGGTAGAGCCAGGAGCTGATTCTGCTGCCTTCCCCATGGGGGAGCTAGTCTGTGCCGCCTTGCTGGGTGATGCCGGTGAGGACGGCTGTGGCGTTTCTGTTCTATCGCTAACTGCCTCCTCTGCCTCCTCCCTCTGCTGTACAGAGGACAGATATTGCTCCAGCAGGCTGCAGTCTGCACTGTCCACTCCATCACTGCCATTAGCGAGGCCACTACAAATGGGGCTTAGCGCTCGCACTGTTTTCAGAGAGTCTGCTGTCCCACTGCTCAGGAAGCTGTCCTCTTGCGCCACCTGCTGGTCGCAAGTCAACTGGAAGCCAGAGTCTGGGAAGGAGACATCTGTGCTGGGTGGGTTGGTGGTACTGGAAGCAACGGGTGGGGTGGCCTTGCAAAGTCCAGGAGATGAGATCTGAGCAGGGGTGGCGGCTTGCGTAACGACTGCAAGCTGCTGCTCCACAGACTGCTTCCACTGCTGCATAGCCTGGAACTACACACAAATCACACAAAACGTAAACTATGAATTTATGTACAGATTTCTTGAAACAATATTATACATATCTTACAATGTTAAACAGAAACTACCTCTTTCCATAGAAACTTCAAAGCTTCCTCCTGAACGAGCCTTTGGAGCCTCTCCTCATCATACTGCTTCTGCACACTGCAAACAAACCAGATTCACTGTCACTGATTAACACCTATGCATTGCAGAAAGAGTATCACCAGTGCTGCTTGTCGGTCACTTACTGATCCAACTTCTCAGACAGGAAGAGGATGTGTTCCTGCATCCTGCGTAGGCGGATTTCACTGCGCACCTCTCTGGCCATGGGGTGACAGCACCGCGTGTAATGCCCTTTCCACCAGGACTGTATTTTAATTGCAGCTCTGTCTGCTTCTGTCACACTTGATTTACTCTCAACTTCTTCCTGCTTCTGAGCTTCTTTCACCTCAGCTTTAACAAAATCACTATCTAGGTCATTCTGTAGAGTGGTAACTCTGACTCCTAGCAATCCACTAGATGTTGAATCTGTAGCAGAAATAACTTCTTCTCCTTCAAGCGTCTTTCTCTCGTGCTGCTTTACTGTGGGTGGATGCTGTGGATTGTTGGCATTTTGCTTTTTGGACTGCGCTGGGTGCTTTGGTGCCAGGGAATCTGGCTCGAATGTCTCTGTCTCGTCCTCGCTGTCAGAGTGGGTCGATCGTGGCTCCAGATCAGATGTGAAGGGGATGAAGGTGGACTCTGAGGAAAGCATGCTACTGTTGAGTTTGTCCTCACCTGTCTGCACATCCTCCAAATAAATTTGTTCCTCGCTGAGCCTTGGGCGACATACTATGGGCAGTGACGGATTGGAAGAGTCAGAGCTCACCCAGGTGTTAAACCGAACAACTGGCTCTACAGGAGAGCAGACAAGTCAACGATTAGTACTACAACCTAATTCAAATACATGATTCTCACTGGTCTTGGACCAGGGTGCCAGGCAGGCAGCCCTCTTACCTGTCTGCGGGACTGATGGAACAGCTGGTCCAGGTACCGTGATATTCTTCAACTCTCTGGCTCCCCCTTGTGGAACTCTATGTGACGGACTATGACTCTCCACATCAAGCTGAGTTGGTCGAGGAGGACTGCGACAGCCTCCCCGGGTCTCCTCCAGCAGTTGTCTCTGATGAAACCTGAGACAGTTATGGAGGATTAAGAATGATGTGTGCTACCATGACCAAGAAGTGGATACTGGGTAATGATTTTTTTTCCCTTGAAGTTTATCTATATTAAGATTTCAACCTCTGTTTACTGAGAATCTTCTCCAATTTGGCATCCTCAGCTGTCTCCAGGGCAGGTGATGCCGTCACAGGGCAGACAGTGGCCAGGTACTGAACCAGTTGAATGTGCTGCCCTGGTCGATATGAGCGACCTTTGCCCTGACTGTAGAGCCACTCGGCTTTCAGACTGTAAATTCAACAATAACACACAGCAATAAAGAAAAAAAAAAAAGACACTCAGGCATTCTGATAATGCTTTTGTACTGACGATATTAAGCACGAGAATATACACACCCCTCTTTCTGTGTCACTACATAGCCATCCAGGACCTTCAGGCTCAGGCACCAACTCGTGACATATGGCCGATAGTCGAAACCAGGCAGAGATGGGGTCGCCATAACACAAGGGTTGCTCATGATGGACAGCTGCTCCAGCTCATGAAGTGGCGCCAGGTATGACATCTGGAGTAATCAGTTTATAGTCAGTCATAGTAATATTAGGTAATTTTAATATAACCAGTGTGACTGTATTATTAAATAAGGGAGAACATAATTACTTCATTAAGATCCCTAATCTCGTTTTCTGCCAGGGAGAGAATAGATAATTGGGCAGGAAGGTGAGCGGGGACAGTTCGAAGTGTTGTGATGCTGTTTCCGTGAAGTAACAGAGTCTGCAACATTGACAGAAAATGATGCCGTCAAGAAAATCAACAATACCATTAATATAGGGCTAGTCTGAGCATATATTCAGAGGTCTCAGCACACTGACCTTTAGTGCCACCAATTTGGTCAGATCACCAATGGCAGATATGTTATTGT